GGATGGATGGATGGATGGATGGATGGATGGATGGATGGATGGGTGGATGGATGGGTGGATGGATGGGTGGATGGGTGGATGGATGGATGGATGGATGGATGGATGGGTGGATGGATGGATGGATGGATGGATGGGTGGATGGATGGATGGATGGGTGGATGGATGGATGGATGGATGGGTGGATGGGTGGATGGGTGGATGGATGGGTGGATGGGTGGATGGATGGGTGGATGGGTGGATGGATGGATGGATGGATGGATGGGTGGATGGATGGGTGGATGGATGGATGGATGGATGGGTGGATGGATGGATGGATGGGTGGATGGATGGGTGGATGGGTGGATGGGTGGATGGGTGGATGGATGGATGGATGGATGGATGGATGGATGGATGGATGGATGGGTGGGTGGATGGATAGATGGATGGGTGGATGGATGGATGGATGGATGGATGGATGGATGGATGGGTGGATGGATGGATGGATGGGTGGATGGATGGGTGGATGGGTGGATGGGTGGATGGATGGGTGGATGGATGGATGGATGGATGGATGGGTGGATGGATGGATGGGTGGATGGATGGATGGGTGGATGGGTGGATGGGTGGATGGATGAGATGGCTTGTCCTGCCACTCTCTTGGAGCCTGGCTCTGCAGAATGTAACTTTGACTTCTGTTCCCAGTCCACTTACCACCTCACTACCCTGGCTTGCTCACTCTTTCCCCAGCTCTGTCTTCCAGTCTTAGCTCATGGGGTGCAGGAGGCCTGGGTGGGCCTGTCTCCTGGAGACCTCCTCACCCACGAAGCATCTAAAGTTAGGTGTGGTGGTGCACACCTGAAATTCTAGCACTCAGGAGGTGGGAACAGGGAATTCCGACTCAGAAGTCAGTCTGAGCTACCTAGAGAGACACTGTCGCAAAACGAAACCAAAGCAAACCAAAAACCATCCAGGTTTTTATCGAGCACTTCACTATCTCTGAAATGACCTTAAACTGAACCCTCTAATTCCCAGGCTCTGAGTGTCCCCAGGCAATGTGGTGCAGACTTTAGGAGGCCTTGTCTCTTCTCATTTAAAAAAAATACATATTTTAATCATATTCTTTCCCTCCCCCCAGATCCTCCCTTCCTGCTCTCAACGGTGCCTGGATTACAGCTGATGCTCAGCATGTTCCATAAGCAAAGGGGAAAGTGTCCCACGCTGCCTTGAGAATAGGTCAGGGGTGAGGTGTGAGCTCCAGGTTGCTGTGTCTCCACAACGTTGTCACAATTCCCCTTGCAACATCAGGGTTGCTTCACTAAGGCAGTCCGTCACTTCAAAGTCAGAAGTGTCCCTGGGGAAGAGAGTGGCATGGCTTTAGGAGATAAAAATGCATGTGCCCCTTCACCAGGCAGCCAAGGCAGTCAAACCAATTGGGTGGGCCTGGACAGGCTGAGTCCACACGGGGCCTGGCCACCTTCTCTTGAGTCCTGTCAAGTCAGATCAGCCTCCTGGCAACCTTCCTCCCCTCCTGTCAGCACAGGGCCAGTGACCCAAAGTGACCCCTAATCCTGCCTGAGCCTTTTCTTGATCTCCTGGTCTCCACGCTGGGTACTCCAACTGTACTCTGCATGCTATCCAGCCGTCCACTCATTCAGCAATTATCTATTGAATATATGCCATATGTGCCGGGCAAGATGGGGGTCATGGGGGTGCAGTGGTGACCCTAGAAGCCCTTCACCCCCAGTTCTCATAGCACCCCAAAGATGTCCACATTATGTTCCAGGAACCTGTATGTCAGCTCTATGGCAAAGGGACTTTGCAGTGGTGGGTAAGTCAGGAACTTAGAGATTGTGCTTCATCATCTAAGTGGACTAATGTAACCACAAGGGTTCTTACAGGAAAAAAGAGATAGACTTCAGTTTCAGGAGATCCAACACCCTCTTCTGAACACCTCAGATACTAGGCATGCATGTGGTACACATATATATATGCAGGCAAAATGACCACACATATAAAAAAATCTAAAATTCTTATAATATATTGATTTTTATTTTATGTGCATTGGTGTTTTGCCTGCATGTATGTCTGCGTGAGGGTGTTGGATCCCCTAGACCCATAGTTACAAACAGTTGTGAGCTGCCATGTGGGTACTGGGAATTCAATCTGACCAAGTCCTCCAGAAGAGCGGCCAGTGCTCTTAACTGCTAAACTGTCTTTCCAGCCCCTAAAGCTAAAAAATTTTAAAAATAATTTCAAAACATCCACAGCAGGCATTTTGCAAGGGCAGGCCTGTGGTGGTTTGAAAGAAAACAGCCCCTAAAAGAAGTGGCACTATTAGGAGGTGTGGCTTTCTTGGAGGAAGTGTGTCATTGTGGGGGTGTCCTTGGAGGTCTCTTATGCTCAAGCCATGCTCAGTGTGGCACAGAATTGCTTCTTTTGTCTGCAGATAAAGATGTAGAGATTTTGGCCGGGCAGTGGTGGCACACACCTTTAATCCCAGCACTCAGGAGGCAGAGGCAGGTGGATCTCTGTGAGTTCAAGGCCAGCCTGGTCTACAGAGTTCCCGGACACCAGGGTTACACACAGAGAAACCCTGTCTCAAAAAACAAAACAAAACAAAAAAAATGGTGCTCCTCCAGCACCATGTCTGCCTGAATGCCACCATGCTCCCTGCTATGAAGATAATGGACTAAACCTCTGAAACTGTAAGCCAGCCCCTTTTAAACATCTTCCTTTTTAAGAGTTGCCATGGCCCATGATGGCTCTTCACAGCAATAGAAACCCTGACTAGACAGGGTCCTCTGGGCACACAGCCAAGTACAGCCGCACAGGTTGTAAACCCATCAAACTGACCCTGAATCCCACCAAGATCAGCTGGATACAGTGGTCTACTTAAAGGAAGAAGCAGAGCC